AACGTCGAGAGGACCCCTGGACCATCTCGGCTGCGTATAGTCGTGCAAGAGGGCCCCTTTTCCTAGATGTCGAAATAAAAAGTTCAGAAAATGTGTAAATCAGGAGTGGTTATTAAAAACACACACACGCATTAACGGTATTTTTTGTGTACCAGCATTGTAAATAACATATTCTGCTGCAAGATATCGTTCATAAAAGGACATTTTACGGCACAAATGATTGCATCATAACGCAATTAGCCAATGCAGCGAGAGAATCGTGGGGAGGTAGCGGCAAACGAGAAAACCAACCACTGTTTATCGCATAGACCCCAAATACCTGTGGTCACCAGAAAGTTGTTTCGCAAAATTAATTTTATTTCTCTTTTATTTGTAATGCTATTATGCAAAATAATTGTGTACGCAACCCGTTAATAATGTTGCTTTATTGCATTCCTACAAATTTGAAAACTTCGCTTTTAACGTCGTTTCTTTTCAAAACATGTACTCATTCAATAGAGCATAACATTATAAACTATTTGCACGACTAATTTGCAATCTTTTTGTGGGAGATCATATGAGATATATCAAAGGCAGAAGAAGCACTTTTAGTGTTGTAGTATTCTTGACGTTTTAAGTTTCAGGTTATTTTGGTTCCCACTCACAAAAATTATATTACACTAAACACTGAATTTGTAATGAAGCCCCTCCGGAATTTTAGTTATTTTACTCTTCAATATTCCGAAGATTATTAAATTCCACTAAAAATGGATATTAACCTTTTATTATGAACAAATCAGACATCATGTTCACGTTTCAATTGTTCACCACTCATCGAATTGAAGGATACTTCTCTAGGTGTGGAGATACTGCGAAGCGGATAATCATTCTTTGTTTCTCTGAGAGAAGTAGGTTTGCTTTGTGCAATTAGTTGTTGCTTTTCTTCACATTGGTCCTCGTTGGACTTCCTGGTCGTCGTTGCAAGTTGGCTACTTCAATCCCGTCTCCTCGTCGCACCCATCTAGGTTCTGTTCTGCGGAAATAGTGGTATGTCGAACTTGCGACGCAGATCTCTCTGGCCACTAGACGACCGCCGCATCCGGCGCAAAACAAATCGTTTTCTACTCCCTTTGTACAATTCGCGTATTAGATGGCTGCAGCTCGTTGCATAACGATAGTCATCATGATTCAGTTTCATTATACAGCTTCACTACAGTTATTTGACCAATCACAGAGTAGTTTACAGAGGTTTGTAATCTATCATTTGAAATCGTTTTATTAAATGTTTCGTTAGATTGTGCACTGTCACCGTGTCGAAACCCGCGAGAGGGGGGGGGGCACGTGCTCTTCTGTTTCCAAAGTCAGAAGAAAAACATAATAGTGAATCCTCCTTTGAGGACTCTTTCATTTTTTAATCTTATAAGTAATAAGAAGAGATACTGAATTTTAATGACATTTCTTTAATAAATTGAATTCTTACTGGACTCACATATTGCTTGTTTGTAGACGTACAAAGTTTATGCTTAATTAATGCCTCCTAGGAGAAGTAGGTGGCATTGGCTGAACACTTCATGCCAGTTGCCGGGTAATCCTTTAATGGGTAATAACTATCATTAGTCGTAGAAAAAGTTTTGCACGTAATTTACTTTAATAGGGGTTAATGGCCTTGTTGGAAGTTTACGATATTCACTTGTTCCTCGCTCGTATCGTAATATTACGTCACACCCGTGTATTAAAATGGCCTTGAATTCTAAATGTAAAAATTCCTTATGTGTTCTATTTTGTGTGAACTTGTATACTATAAAAATCTCTGTACCACGTATCAACATACCACATTCGTTTTACGAATTAAAGAACAAATCTTATGCTAATAATTGTCTTTTAAATATTTATTTCCTAACATACAAGGCATATCAATTAAATATATTTTAGACGTTAGTAGTAAAATTTTTATGTAGGATATTTTATAGTGTTCATAATCATCACATTGTTTGTTTGCTGGAGTTGTAGTTTGTTAAAAATTGTAAGGAAATAATTTCTTGGCTGAGGTGTAGCTTTAATCATCTTTTGAAAACTCTTGTATTCTTATAGAAAACACTGAAGATGTGACGAGTCACATTGACAAAAATATACTGGAATCACTTTGAGAGAGTAATTAAGTTGATGAAAGAGATGAGGTGACGCTTGATTGTAAACAAGAAGCAAAAAGGCGGAGGAAAGGGAACTTTTTTGTGTAAGCCTATGCTGTGTGGATCACCTACTTCAACCTTCAAACTAAATATCCGGAATGAATGTTTATTTCTAGTGAGATTGAGGTCATCGTACTGGGATTTGTGCAAAATATTATTTTGCCCCAAAACATGCCAAAAATATGTCAATATTTTACTATTTTCTCAATTGAATGATGTTTGAAGAATTGTGTCTGTATTTTTACAACACAAGTAATTGAATTACATACTCTCGCTAAAACAATTATGATTCTATATAAAACAAACGCATTCGATTAAATTAAAATTCTTGGCTTTTACTTATCATAAACTCTACACGAGTCAATACCCATTACATCGAGTTTCACACTGTACTTTTTCTACGACTTATGGTAACTTTTATAAGTTAAACTTTTACATTGGACATGCATGGCAGTTGACACACAGAATTCAGTTAATGTCACCTAACGAACAGCTCCCTACCCTACCTGCCCACCGCAGGTGGCTTAGGTTTACCATTGCATTAGTGAAATAGGATCGAAATGAAATTACAATCCAATTTATTTTAGATAATATTACATGTGAAAAATTACTACTAATAAAAGAAATTAAAACTGACAACCATAATATAATATTACATGTTTTAATGCACACAATCCAACGAAACATTTACTAGAACGATTCTCAATGATTAATATGTACACTTCTCAGTGATTGGTCAAGAACCTGTATCGTAATGAAATCTGTATAGTAATGAGTATAATTAGGTAACGGGCTGCAGCCATGAAACGACAGAATTATTCGACGGGAGTAGAACAAGCTGCACTGTCGGAGATTTTTTCCGCTCTCCGCCCGCGCGCCGATGCGGATCGCGGCGAGGCCGAGCGCAGACCTGTTGTCGGCGGCAGGTGATTCACTTCGCGCGCTATTTGCGGCGGGTGATGCACGGGGGCGGAGGCGGAGAGGCGCTGGCCGATCGAGGCGGCCGTGACTCACAGACGCGTCGGCCGGCCTGGCCCTCTGGCTACTGGGAGGATGATCAAAGGCCAGCTCTTTCGCTACTGGAGAGCAAGTGGAAGGAAAGGATGCGCTTTGAGAATGCTTGAGCTCCCAGATTAGGCACGATTATATGGATTCAAAGTATTAATTCAATCCAAAGTTTGGAATGAAAGAATACAAATACCTAGTGTTCAAAAGAAGAGAAGTGTTTTGCGTGGCAAACTAAGAGATTTTACATACATTAAATTAAAAATACAATGTATGATGATATTTGATTTACAGCGTTTGAACTATTGTAGAAGGAGTTTTTTGTATATAAGTTCATTTGTACCCGACACATACTGGATTCGGGGGAGGGGAGAAGGCGGTTCCATGGAAAGTAGGGAAAAGGATTAATGTTGGAGAGTTGAATGCAAGTGTTTAGAAATAATATATATTCCATAATTCAGATTTTGCGACGAGCCGGCAATTGCGATGAAGGTTGAAAGAAGTGAGAAAATAATTCTTAATGAGAATTATGAATGGATTTTTTTAGTCATAAAGATATCCACAAACACACATGGTACCAAGCAAAAAAGGATCGATCCAGTAGGTCCTTTCCTGAAAGTCATTGATGTGAGGGTACAAAGACGGGTTATATGTGGTTCAGATCACTTTCTAGAGAAAGCTTAAGTGTATATCAGTCCTAGAATTTGCTTAGAAGATAATATTCGGTAAAAGGTAAAAAAGGGTCGAACTGCCAAAATATAATTTAGAGAGTTCTAAGAATAAATTGACCATATTATTGTACAAATGTGACAAAATTATTTAACAGGTGTATTTTAATGAAGAATCGAAGAATGCATGGATTAGTTCCATCCATAAGAGGGAAACTGGAATGACTGTTCAAACTAGAACGGAATTAGTATAATAGATACTATGGGTAGACTGAATGGAAGGTGTTTTACTACAAGAACTGAAAATGGAGGTCAATGAAATAGAGGTCAATGAAATTGAGGAACGAAGTGGTTTTAGGGAAGGAAGATATTTGTATTGATAATATATTCTCTATTAAACAGTTTATTGAAAAGAAAATCTTAACGAACAGAGAATTACATTTAATATTTTTTATTTAAGGAAGGCTTGTTATAATGTTATTATTATAATGTTTGAGAGCCCCTATGACTTGTTAAGATAAGAAAAGAATTATCAGAATATTTAATTATAAATAATGCTCTCAGTCCTTTTCACCAACTTCGTTCAATATTTTATGGGCAAAACTCTAAAGGAAAGGTCCAGAAAAAGTAGAAATTTGGAAGTGATTGTCGGAAACGGGAAGATGTACGAGTATAATATACAAAACAGCTATTTTGTCTGTACCGGATCCCCCAGCTGCCTCAGATTCGCTCTGAAGATGGCCGCAATGCGATCGAAAAAGTTATATGGAACAATAAACACGATAAAAAACGCTTAATATTTATTTCTATAATATCAATTACTTAACAATTTATATTTCCTGTTTGAAATGTCTTGATACCCAACGAAAAAAAATTAAAAACTTGGATAGAATGGTGCGGATGATTTTAGACCGAGGAGAGAGTGTCAAAACGGGACCGAACTGGGGCTAAAGAGTTTGGAATTCAGCTGAGACACGGTTTTGTTCTCACTTGGTCCCTCGTGAAGTCCTCACATGGAGTGCTATCAGCTGTGACGATGAGTTTTTAAGCGCATTAGTCTGGTATGTGGTCGAATATTATATATTCTAGTGGTGAGGTAATCCAGAGAAGGTAAAATGAAAAGAATCGCAATTAAAAAATAATTTTAAAAATAAAAATAGAGTTGTCTGTTTGGTACATTTATTCATCATGTAATTTTTATAACAATAAAACATTTATACAATTAATAGTAAAGTATCGACACGTTTCAGTTTTACAAGTATTCGTTTTATATAAATGAATAAAATCACGATGTATCCTCTGAACGTATTACTTTGCTACATGTATAACATTTCTTGTATGTAAAGCTTGTTGTAATCTATGCATGCTCTTAACATGGTTTTGAAGGTACAACCAGGATGTGCCAGTCTTCCGCACTCTCTGAGTTGACCGGATGTGGTCTAATGATACCGCAATCAGTGTGACGCAAATGTAAAACTGCCTCAAAGGCGATTTACCGACATGTTTCCTGAGTCAGAAAGATTCACTATATTTTACAATTAGGAAAATTAATTAGAAAACAGGCTACTTGTCAGTATGAAACGCCAAACGCCTTTTCGAGAAAAAGGACTTGTCGCCCACACGATACGATAATTTAAATGTACGAAAGATGAGCGCCCAGACCCCTCTTTCCACATTTGTCGCTAATCGCTATTCAGTATAGAGGTTGATACGTTTTCATAGATCCCAAAAAATATCATATATCCCCAACTTTTAGTAGGTTTTAATGGGTCACTTCCTCGAAAATAATTAATATGATTTCAAATCATTCCAAAATGGCACAAATATGTAAATTGGAAGTTGTTTATGAAGTTCTACATTCAACAATTGAAGTTGAATGAAAAGCTTTGTTATTTTATTTTAATAATTATTAAAAGTATTCGACGCTTCTAATCGTTTGTTATATTTGACTGATTTTTTATAGTAATTATTCAACGAACCTATATTGCACAAACATATTTTTAATTATAGTACTTCTGATGAATGATAAAAATTCATAATCTTTAAGTTCGCCTCTTTTCGACTGAATAACATTTAACATAAAAATTAAATTATTTAAATAAAAACCGAAGAGATACTTGATAATACATGATAGTTCTTTCTAAATAAGTCCTAGAAATGTCAATGAATTACTAAAACATATATTATCTGGAACATTCTGAATGACGCAATATGCTGCAAAAAAAAAAATATAACTTAAGTATTAAACCACCATTTTTCGCAGTATATTCGCCTTAATATGTTCAGAACTCTAATATTCCATACGTTATTTCGTTTTTGTAGGCTCCCTGTTGATTTTATTTTTTATAGATGCAAAATTTGAAAATAGTATTTTTCGTTGAAATTTCCCATTTTAAACCGAAGTGTCTCTTAATAAAAACCACTCAAAGGTTATTTTGTTTAGAAGCTTCGTTTTCTAAATAACGAGAGTACTGAACAGCAGTTTCGACATTTTGTGTTCGATTTTGTTTCTTAATGCTGCGGAGTTGAGGATTCGTCTGCTTGATGCGTTGGCAGAAGGGCCGGATCAACATCCAGTAGAACAACTCGATCACACTAAGGAGGCTAATACCCATGCATAGACCCATGAGTCCGCCTAAACTGGCTGCAATGTAAATGAAGATTATTAGTCTCGGAGGAATCGAGAAGGTAACATTATACAAGATTTTCAACATTTAGTTAAGAATATTACTTAATACAATTATAAAAAATACAATAATCAAGATGGATTTGTAAAGAACCTCGCGTGATATTGTAAAGAATGTTATTGCTTGCTTGTATAACAGAAGAAATTATATATTCGAGGGTGTTTCAACTTGTCTAGTTACAAACGTTCTGATAGATCTACTTTAATCCAAGTACAATATTCCGACACACAGTAATACGGTATATGTACACGTTTGATATAACATTTCCGATTACTTGCCCAACTAACTCCAACGATATTTACAACATCGATATTCATATGACACATGAGCATCATCTCACTGAAACTACGAAGTGTCTTGCTGAACGTATTGATATCAGGGCAGTCGACCATCCAGATGCTTCTTCAATGCTTTCGAGACATTGAGATCACTGAGCCTAGGAAAAGAAATTGCGGACCATATCACCAGATTCGCGGTAAAGAGAGGGTGATCGAATGGCCGCGCTCACAAAGGCCCATTTAAACTCAGATTAAAACAGTGTGTCATGGAGGGCCAAGCGAAAGGGACATTTTCATCCAATCACGAGCTTCGTTACGACTTACATTTTTGGTATTGAAACTCTCGATTGGATGGCAGTGCTCCACACGCTTTTCATCGTGTGACTTTGAAGGGACATACTGTTTTAATTGACGTACATACGTTCTCTCGACCTGACATGATACCGGTGATTTCCTTCTCTTTGTGCCAGTGAAGAAACGTCTGGGACGATGAAAAATAATTTCTCTTTTCGTATGAACTCGAAATAGTAAAAAAGTGGTGAGAAGTTAGAGAATCAATGCCAAAATTAAGCAAATGTTGCTCTACTTGAGCAAAGAAGAGGGAAAATGGGAGCAGTTTTTGAAAAAAATCTCGTTAACACATTTTTTAATTACCTCAATTTCAGAATTATGCAAAAAATATTCATATTTAAAAAAGTATAAATGACATTTTTTAAAATAAAGTTTGAAAATCAAACTCATTCAGAAAACTATTATTTTCAATAATGAATATGTGTGAGAGGGTCATAACAATTTTTCCCCCAAAATTGAAAAACTTTTGCAATTTAAACATTTTTAGGAGTTTTACTGAAAATAGAATCTGTGCCTATTCTGTAAGTGTAGTTTGTTCTATTTGTGCAAACAATTTTGCAAAAAAAATTGAAGCAGTTTTTGAGAAAATTTTTAAATGTCAGGGACCGAGAAATATCAGTTTTACAGGCAATCATGTAACTGTTTAGTATGTGTTAGTGTTAACCACTCACGTACGGACAGACATACAGGTAGAAGACAGACGTGTTTGAAACAATAATTTTCGGTAACATTTTCACTAAAGGTTTTTGTCAAAATCTCGTCATCAACGTTTTGCAGCATTACAATTCTTCTTTATGCTATTACGTATACAAAAAGGTAAAATGTCTCTTTTCAGGTTGGATATAAATTTCTAAAAAGGCATGATTCTTAAGACCGGAAGGAAATTAATGAGTGAATCTTGAAGTATTCCAAAATCTACTCACCCAACAAGTCAGATAAACCAAAAACTTCCACCCGCCGCACAGGGATAAAGAGAGAATCTTTGTAGAAAATTGATACGTGGGATCTCTTTGTTGGCTCGTTTGTCACAAGCTCTTTGCTGCAACAAGAACAAATATTAATCTTTTAACATCATCTATTAACACAAAATTTCTTGATATGCTTATATATCTAGTCCCCAGGTATAACTATTTTTCGGGACATTAGCCAAAAATCTTGTTTGATTCTTTTTGAAATGATTTTATATTTATTTATGCATGCAAAAATACTTAACATACCTATGAAGTATTTGTTTCGCAGTCTCAGGATCCAACACAGATTGAATGTGATGACTGTTGTATCGAATGTGAGCGCAGCTCTGCAAACAATTACATGGTGTTTGTTGTATTTTGTGACACTTTTTGCAGTTCTTTCCACTCTTCGGTGACTGCTCTTCAGTAATGTAAAAATTTCCTAAAAATCATATTAACTTGGAGTGTTAACCTGTTATCGTTATTAACATCATAAGGCAGATATAGATCATATTAGTTGAGATATCGGCGGCGTGTCGTTCAATATTTTTCGTAATACCGAGTTCAGTTAAAACATTTTTGTAATAGGTACTGCATTGTTATATCGACTTAACACAACCTGGGAAACAAAAAGGCTCTCTTAAAGGCCGGTATGCGTTTAGTGTTTTACCAGACCACCGTCATGATATTGCTATCTCAGGAGACTACCACATCGGTAATTGCAAATATCAACCACGTCCGTTATCAGCGAAATGCAGCAAACGACGCGGAGTTTTCCTGATAAAATTTCAAAGAATTTGCATGATAAGGATACCCAAAATGCAAAATGCGTGGTTGTTGTGAGATGTTTGGTTATTCATTGCAGTTTAGTTCTTAATTGCCAAAATCATAGAAAAGCCATGGTGTATTTTTTATTTTTATTTTGAGTCGCATCAACATCAAGTACTATTTTAATGTATGACATTAATGTTGTACAATCCTTTCCTTATTATATTATTCATTGAGAATACATTATGAGTGCCTATTAAATACCTGTACTAGAATGTTAAATGCGTATGTTAGTATTTAAAACTTTTACTGGACATTTCGCCTGCCTCTTTTTACTGCTCTATTGCCGAAAATTTGCACCGTAATCATAATTCATTCGCCACCTAATTTTTATTATTCTGTTGACTTACCTGCAACTCTCTTTGCACAAAATTCGTCTTTCCCACACACAATTGTGTTCGGCATTCCTGAAAGTAATATAAAATAAATTATATTAATGTTTCCTATTGTCTTTAAATATTCATATTATTTCATGCTATATTTACCGAACTCTTCGAAGTATACCGAATATTTACCGAAGTTCGAAGAAGGATTAATTTCAAAAAACACTTCGGAATTTATCCGGATAAAGTGGACCTTGATTAACATGAGATGGCTAGGGTAGGCGTTCAATTTACGATGACAGAGTGTAGTATGTAAAAATGTAATAATAGGGATCAGACTGTTCGAAGTTTCCAAGGCTAGTGAGCGACAAAGAGTTGGGTCCAGTTCCATTGCATCAATTCGAAATTTCTATTTCCACAATACCATATAACCCAACTTCACAATAACCTCCAATAATGCTTCGCTTCGCTTTTTGTGAGTTGGGAACGTGATTCCGCCCTTCAGCCTTTGATGTACGTAAAAGAACACCAAGTTTACGTAACGCATTATTTCCAACTTATTTTTAAGCCAAAATACTTCTTGCAAACACTTGAGATGCCTCAAACTTACACAGTTACCTTCCTTTAGCCATCACCCATACGACCAATCTCTGTATCATACCGAAATAATCCGCCCATTAAACTTCATCCCCACCATTTGGCTAATGAACAGGCTTCATCATTACTGAATGAATTCGCTTCTCCTAATACGAGCCAAAGTTTGGACGTTATATTTATATATATATATATATATATATATATATATATATATATATATATATACACACACACACACCTCGATATTGGTTCAACTTATCCTGCCAAAACAAAGATTAGTATGGTATATTGTCTTTGTACCATTTGTCATCATCAATCGATATGAAAGTGTATGATTATGTTCTAGTTACAATTATTGTGGGAAGAGACTAAGTAATAGGATGGAAGAAATATTATCCCATTATTATGTCATACATTGAAAACATCTTGTTCGGGGGACCCCCAAACAATCATACATTAATTTTTTTCAATTATGAAATAAATATTCTTATTAATTTCATGAAAATCGTTGAATGGCGGATGGCCACATCAGATATTAGAAAATATTTTTAGACAATTCTAGTTTTGCTAATTATTGGATTGAAATTAACCGCTCCGCTCTTTTGATGCTAATGGAAATTTCCAAATTCTCCATTTAGGAAATAATAGCAAGAAAACAAACGTTTAAGAAAGTATTGAAATTTTAAGGCTTTTCAAAAATCAACTTTTTACAGAACTTCATGAACGATCTCATATAACAAGTAATCCAAATTTAAATCAATTGTGACAAAATTTCTTTTGTACCTTCCATTTCTTCTATTCCTATTTATTCCACATTTGCTATAAATATTATCTATGCATTTTTTACTTCACATATAACATGTTTATTTTATCACAGTTTTAGTTTTCTTGGCGTTTTTATTATTTTGTTGTTATAGTAACTATATTTCTGTACCCCCTTCGTCAAAAATTGTATTCTTTGCGATTGTTTGTAGTCACTGAAAACTGAACGATAATTCCCGAAAGTATGTTATAGGCTTTACCAGAAATATTGTGCTTTAACACATGCTGCTTTAACTTATGCTTTAACACATGTATGTCCTTTGGCACAACAGCGCTTTACGTGCTAAGGCCTACCAGCGGCGACACGGTCATGCGGGCATGAGTTAAGGAGCATGTGTGGTTAGTACAGAGCCATCCTTATGCCATATTCTGGTCTTATCAACCTGAGAATTGAGCTTTCTCATCATCACACAGCAACAGATACTGGGACATTGTCAAGAAAGCGCACAGTTGATTTTTGCCGCGTCCGGGAATCGAACCCAGAATTGGCTGGAAAGCGCGTAAGCTAACCAACGGACCACTATGCTTTCAAAAATATTACATTAAATCGTTTTGTTTAATTTGTGGTTCATTAACTTGTATGTTCGATCTACTGCTAATTGTTTGCGAGGTAGACGTGAGACGTACTGGGCATGTAGAATTCGACGCATCCACAGCTCGCCAGCGTGATGTTGGCGAGGCACTCCAACTCGCAGTTCTTTTGCGTGTAGAACTTGAAGTACTTGAGATAGCGCTCGTCGTGGAAGTAGCACTGGCGCTGCTCCGGAGTGTACGAGTCTCGCAAGTCCTGCGAGGTGCGGATCTCGTGCGGCGTCAGGAAGATCTCCGAGAAGGTGTTGAGCGGGACAAACACTGTCTCGTGGCGCAGCTGAGGGAATTCGATGGGGCTGTGAAGAATTACCTGCCGATGCGAAAAAGAGAAGTTGAGGTTCAAATATTTTTTGAACAGCTTGATCATATAGAGACCACCGTGATTGGTTGAACTATATGGGGGAACTGTAGGAGGAGCACGTAAGGACAACACTAACACACAAACATCCATGCACGAGGCGGGATTCGAACCCGCGTCCCTTCGAGACGAGGCAGCTAAGACGCTTCAGCCTTCGCCAGCTATTTGAAATAATTACGTAACATTTTTTCGTATGAAAGTGTTTTGACTCCGTGCGTCTCAAATACGGAAGTCATTAGTAGAATGTAGTGCATGTCACAGCCTTGGTGATGGAGGGGATGTTCGTCTCACACCAGTCTGAGATCTGGCGCCCACCTACATGTCGGCAAGCGGAATTTCCTCCTCGTTGAACCTTTTCCAGCTGAAAAACACCCCGGTCTGTCGACGTGTATGGTAGTATAGTGCATGTAAGTGAGTGTATGAGGAGAAAGGACGGAATAAGGATGAGAAAGGAAATATTAAGTGCCGTTCATGGCTGGTATTTAGGATACTGTTTCGGTATTCGCCTGGTATTGATCAGAGAAACCATGGAAAACTAGCGTTAAGATGCCGGCTGATTGAATTCTTCTGCAGTCGAATTAAACGTGGCTTTTGAGCTGCTAGCCGTTTCGACGAACGCTACAACCTCATACAAGAATTATTTCGCGAATCCCGGATCTCCAACGATTGTCGGCGATTTTTAGGCCAAGAGAGAATGAGGTATGAAGCGTCATCATCCTAAGGATGAGAGTTGAGGATGGAGGAGAGGGTCTTTCACGCTCCATAGCCTTGTGTAAGACCCTGCTTTGGCATGTGCTTGAGCTGATCAGTTAAAACAACAAAACTGATGAGGAGAGTCACCACACAGCATTAACATCTAAACAGTATTAGTCGAAAGAATTCGGAACAACAATTGTCTCCCTTGCTGCTATTAAAGAGTACATGATGGCATCACTGAAATAATAATAATAATAATAATAATAATAATAATAATAATAATAATAATAATAATAATAATCATAAAACCTACTCTATAGACAAAATATAGTAGTTTAACAATATGAAAAAATCAGTAATATACATATACACAGATAGGGATTTAATTCAATTCTCAATTTGTTCAAGTTTTGAGGAAATATTAAAATATTGTTGCACACAAACTCTTCCAGTCTCTAATAGTTCGGTTCGCGAATAAAATTCTCCAACATACGTTTCCTGTATTATTGTCTGAATTTTGCGCATAAGATCCATTCTGCCGAAGTGTGCAAGTTTTTCTAGTGATTGGTGAATTTCTTTCATGACGCATTGGTTTCATTTCAGATCATTTAATTTATTCACGTAATTTACTAGATAGTTTGATAACTCATATTTAATGAAATGAAGCTAATATAATATTTTATTGCTATGAATTACTAAACTTCCGTACCTGGAATCCGTGTCCCAAAGTGTTGCACATGGAATGTAAATACTTCAATTTCGTTTTCAGCGTCATGGAGAGGCCTGATTCGTCTCCCACTCCCAAAGCAGGCCGTGGATACGCAAATGTCAAGTTGATATCTTTTTCATATCCAGTGGTTGGATCCCATTGCACAGTTGCATTGGCACTATACTGTAAGTCTCCGTTAGAAGCGTGGTACCTAAGAGAACCACATATTAAAGATGCGTTAGAGTACACCAGTATAGTAGAAGATTGTGATTGTTATTTCTAAAATTCTTCAAAGAAGACTTTTTAAAGAAACTATGAGGGCATTCATTGGAAATTAAATTTCCACTAATAATGTAGGGTCCGAGAATTTGGGAGTTTTTAAATTAATTTTTTGGTACTTACGTTTTCTCTCGGAACATATATTTGGCGGGCATCATATTGAATGAAAAGCATACGCCTTCTCTAGTTAAAATTGGTTGAAATTCAGGATCAACGAACGGATTCATATTTGCTATTTCCACGACATCGTCTTTGACCAGTGCAAACTAGAAAATTAAATAAATTTCATTTAGACATTTAAACTTTTTGTTTATATATTCTTTACTTTATATTACCATTTATTCGAAGATTATTCAATAATTTATTTGGTAAGATTTATTACAAACTTTTTTAATTATATGTGTAGCGTTTCTATCAATCTTAGTATTATTGTTGTCCACTCTGATAGGTATTCTACACGGAACCTGAACTTGGGCGAGTAGACTTTCTCTGAAAAGAGGACATTAATGCAATGTTATAGAACCTTTCATTATATTTATTTGGAAATGCATGTAATTATGAAAAAAAGCGTATAGTGGACTGAAAAAAGCCTGCAAAATGATTTTCCAGCTCAGGAAAAGAATACAAAAGCAGTAGAAAACGCACAAGATGAAAACATTAAGAAATTAGTATGTGTTCAGCTACCAACGTAAGGCGTATCAGCTCATCTATCATAACTTTTTGAACAGAGTCATGCAGGAAGGATAACCTTTGTTTGTGTTGTGAACTCTCCACAACTCCACACAATTTCCGGAGCGGATAAATTTCAATCTTGACTCATCGGGTAGGATCTTAGAGACATACACTTCAGTAAAATCTGTCTAAGCCGGAACCTGTATAAGTCGGAAACCTGCCTTAACCGGAAAAAATCTCCGGCCCATGAAGTTAAATATCATTTTTACAGCATAAAACAGAACCTCTCCAAAGTGAAAACGGAACTGTTTTTCATGTTCTGTTGGGGAAAAATTATAAAACGGAATTCTTCTGAATTTAATACAATTGGCAGAGTAATGCGAGATGTGAAATGAATGCATTTGCAAGCCTGTTTTAAATTCTATATTCCTGTGACACGCGATTTAGTCGCGACAGCCTCACATTGAAAGAGAAGGGCTTTAACGTAGAATTCGACCTTGGGGTCGCTTGTCTCTCAGGGCGCAGTCCGTAGGGGAATTCTCTCTCTCCCGACTCCCTGAGCGTGGAAAGGTGCAAGGACATGGCTTCTATTCACGCGTCTTCCTGCCCCGCGTTGAACGTGTTAACTCCTCGACTAGATACACTCCAGACCATGCGAGGGAATCAGAGAGTTATAGTTCTGGGCTGTGATGCATTGTGCGTTGGAAGAGTCAGCAAGCAATCTGAATACAGTCACTAGGCAGTAAGGTGTTGTGTATTTTTCAACTCAAAAGCTGTAAATGAAGAGTTTAATATTCATTTATCTGTGGTTTTTTCCATAAATACTTTTATATGTTAATATATTTTGATAACTATAATATAATTTACTACTTTCAGGGCAGAAAAATCAATATCGCTAGTGTCATCAAATTGACAACCTTGCATAAAACGGAAACCTGCCTAAACTGGATTTTTTTGTGTCTTGATTTATCTCGGCTTAGACAGATTTTATTGTATATGTCTGATGAAAGAATACTCACTCGTCCTTTGTGAGGCTGCCTTTCTTATATCTGATCGCGTAATCAGTGTAGTTGAAGAATTCCGTCCTCGTCTTTGCCTGAGGACAAATGGTAACTGCTGGAAAGGGAATCTGCCACACTGTCCTATGGGACTCGTCCATTGCAATGATGACAGGTGATTCCTCCCATCGAGTGGTAAACTTAATCATGAGTAAAATGCAAGCCACCAGCCCAATGAGAACGCCGAGGAACCACAAAACCCTGCGCCACGAGAGAGAAACAAAAAAGTTATATATCAAAGGATAATATATGCCTGTATTCCGTATGCCTGTATTCTGTATGCCGTATTCACATAACAAGGAATTTAAATTGTTTTACATTTTGGGAGAAAGTTTATGTAACTTGCGTTATCGCGCTTGGAACCTCACCCTTTTTTTGTCGAGAATAAAGCTCTGTTAAATATTTTGTCATTAACAATATTGGATTTTTTAAAATAAATTTTGCTTATTTTTTTTGATTAAAGGGGTTTCAAAAACTTTTCGAAAACTGTAAAGTTATTTTTTGAGAAGTATGTAGCTTCACAAATCAGTTCAACTGAATAAACTTCGATTGACGACAATGTAGTTATCAAGCGTCCTAAAATAAATAAATAAATAAAAAAACTTGGTTGTATTTTCTTTGGCTTGGTCACGCCGTTTGCAGGTACTGTGACAAAGGTGACGAGGACAGTAACATTTGAGTTCGTTTTATCAGAATTAATAAGTTTGTGTCAGCCAGACCAAACTCACAATTGTCCTAAATAATGGCAGTCTTAAAACGATTGTCTTTTATTTGTATTGTCATGAAAAAAAAATAAAATTTCTGTAAAATATTAGAAGTGTATAATAAGCTACAAGTCTGATTTGACTTACCTTTGGAATATAATAAATGAACCTTAAGAAGGAGATGGACTGGGAAGTATTAAACATTAATTGTTCATTGTAAATAATTACTGTTTTACGACTTGTGCACACTGTATAATTTAAACCTTGGATGGACGATATGTCGTGTACGTGCTAATAACCTCGATGTTGATGCGACTGTAAATAAAATAAATTTAAAAAAAGATTTGGAGGCCGAAGCCTATCCGTTGACTTAGGAGAGGACTTTGCGAGCAACGTCAGTAAACGTGCAAAAAATGTGCTAAAAAGGTTGTAACATTGGAGCAATAGTAAAATTGAAAAAAAATTGATAGGAACATTTGTTTAACCTTTGAACAATTTTTCGGAATTGTTTTCGAACGTCTTCTATTGACTTCTAACAGACTACTACTAATTATTCTTGAATTTTACTATGAAATGTTAACATAAAAATCTAAAAAAAGGCAAAGATGGAGAATGTGGAATTTCAAAGAGAAACATTGATTTCATCCCGATCGTAAGTATTCACAAAAAGTGATGGTTTTATTAAAAATGCAGGAGAATTATGATTCTTATAATTATATTTTTTAGGTGTGTTTATGTAGATGTCCTTTTGACATATTATTGCATGTGTATAATCCTTTTCAAGATTTTGTCATCAACACTACTAAAACCTATGTTTTGTAAATGTCGTAGGAATCGTCATGTTTGGAGCACGTGCATGATTGTACGTTGTTGCGAGATTATAGAACTCATCACTCAGTTATACAAAACTCACATGATAGTAACTTGCTCGTTTACGCATTTGCTGCATTATGGCTGTTACATCGTAAATATCCTTTGTTAATTTTAGTGAAATTCAAATTTTTGGTCCTCAAAACTTGTATTCACTTTTAAGAATTCATTTGAAGGGGCTAGGACAAGATTAGAAACATTTCTGTACTCTTTGTCAACCATAGGAAAATAGATTTCTTTATAAATTCAGTTGTCTCTTATGTTTCTGAATGCACTACTTGCTGATTTCTACACACAGTGTAGATCTGTGAACACGTACAGCATTTCTATCATGTTTGTTTTTAAGAGAAATTTTAAGATCTTTATTTTAGATTTTTGTAATGAGGGTTAGCACCATCTTCCTCCGATCCATTTCATTGACACATTTTAAACTATTCTTACTGCAAAAATCAGTTATTTATATTGTTATTGATAATTATAAATCAGTTATTAGAATATTATTTGCCATTCAAACTTCACAAATAATTTGTATTTGTGGAATGTTTTGACCAAGAGAACCTTTTTTTTTGTTTCGTCTTCATGCCAAGAGAACTGTATTATATTATAGGAATAATAATTTAAAAGTCATGGAATTGCGTTTAAAATATTGAATATTACAAAACGCTAACACAATTTTAGAAAATGGAAAGTACGGGGTCACATATTCACATTTAACTTCGATCGTGGTAGAGGTTTGCGAAATTAAAAAAGATCAATAATTTTCCTAATAAGATTAATTTGCAGTAACGAATTAACTGATGGCTATCATAAACGTTGATATGGATTCATAGGAACTTAAAAACTACACGAGATTTTCCGATTTTCAAATAGTATTCATTTCTCACACACAGGATTTTCTTGATAATGCATATCTACCACAATGTTCTTCCTTATTTTCTATTCAACATTCAAAACACAAGAATATGTCGTATATTATTTTTTTTAAGAAAAATTAAATTTAATATATATATATATATATATATATATATATATATATATATATAATTTCAATATATTATTGAATTTTATAATTTTAACTCTTTTACTACATTACAAAATGCACATTTTATTTATTTTATTTGTACTATATGTTATTAAATGAATAGTTTTTAAAGATCTGAAACAAGGTTTTTGTAATGATTGTGGAATGCTTTATGAAAAAACAGAAAAGGAAACAGAATCTTGTCACTGACCTTTCAGGCCACGGTCGTCTAGGTTCTGTCAAGTACTTTAGACCATGAACAGTAGTAGCAGCAAAATAGCCAATGTAATTGTCTTTCAATTCTTCCTTTACGTCCTCCATCCATTTCCTATTTGAAATCTTTCTGCAAGAATGAAGATAAATAAATACAGTTTAGAAATAGTATGATAATCACATGATACTAGTACCGTAAAGGGGTTTTTCATAAATAAATAATTCATCTCACAGAAAAATTTCACTTTTTTAATAATAAATGATGCTTCATTTAAGGATAATTGTCAAGATAGCAGTCATTGATTAAACTAATATTACGATTATTAACTTTACAATATATATTTTGATCAAATTTAAAGATTTCCTTCTTTCACTTTTTTGAGAAACGGTCGTGCTAAACAGTTATGTAATAATAATTTCAGTACGATTTTAAGCTTCTATAATAAACATGTGTCTAGTGATCTAATGCAGCTTACATGAACAAAAATTAAATTTTTGAAATTAAATTTTTTTCACTTGTGCATTGTTACGATGTCGATTACGGATTACGTTAAAGTAGTACACGGACAGTATTTCAAGAATGTGGCACTGTTTGCCCATACGAAACAATATATGAAATGGTGCAACTAGAAAAGAAGCAAAAAGAATCACTTACCCTTGCGTGCTCATTGCGGCCGCAGATCCAACAAGCGTCTCTGGAGCCTCAGCTCGGGAAGCCTCAGTTAAATGCCTTCTTATCACGGAAGTGCGGTTTCTGTTTGGGCTGTAGCGTAACCGCTTTAAACACTGCTCCTTTCCTTTTCGTCTGATCGTTTTCATTCGTTTATCTTGCTTCAAGAACAGCATTTCATTCTCCTCCCCGAGAAAGCTATCCAACTGCTCTGCATCGAACGGGGCATGGAAGTTTAAAACTGTGAGAGTAATTGGCCGTACAACACGTTAGGGCACGTCTGGAGGCCGAACTTGGAGCTAAAATGTCGTCTCTTATCTAGGGACTCTTCCTGTCTCTGATGATGCGAGATCGAGCGTGGTCCTGACTCGTAATCCTGTCGTATTCAATTGAAATCATAGTGGATGGAGCAATAGCCCATTGCTGGATCACAAGCATGGAATTGTGTAAGGAAGCAGTTTCATGCACGGTCATTGACCCTTTGCTTAAGACGAAACTGATTGTCTACCTGAGGTAAGGTCGAAATGCTATTTTCAAGGGCAAGCATTTACTACTCTACAGATACTAGACAGGTCGAAAATCGCAGCATTGATAGTGATTCAAAATGCAAATGCAGGATGGGCTGGCCTACGCCAATTTCGCAAATTCCTGGATTGTAGAAGAGCTCTGTTAACTTCAGAGTAAATGTAAAAACAAACTTAAGTGCCACCACTCACTGTGAAAAGTTTCGTTGTCATTAATGCAATTACCAGGATTCAGTTTCACCTTTACCTTCACCGCTTCTCATATGCGGACACTGGTTAATCAATAGGTAGTTGACAATATTTTAAATTAGCTTATCTTGTTCCTCGGTATGTAAAATTACTGTCAATAGCGGTCAAAGATGAAGGGCAGAGTCACAGAGTTTTAGGATATCCCATTTCTATACCCGCTATGCTATTTGTATTGAAAAAAAAATGTTTTTACGCTTTATTCGCATTAGAATCGCTAATGACACTTCTTCGGTGGCCTTAATATATGGCAGGTAGACGCGAAACAGTCCTTTCATTACCGTTATTTAAGCTTTAGATTAAGGTGACACTGTTGTAAGAAGAATGTTGCGACGGAAATGCCTAAGAATCGAACGACCAGCACAGGAGGTCCCTAGAATTTTCATTCAGGCAACTGTTTCGCCTGATAGGCGATGACGATAATCTATGTGTCACGTCTCGGATTTTCCGAGCAAAGGAGTTTCAATTGCGGCAACTGTGGCTAATACGTCCTGTGGTGAATATTTTTGTACTAGAGCGTGCGTCACCGAACATACAAGCCAGTAACGTAATTGGGTAATCAGTAGTTGACGGTATTTTAAATTCGGCCTCAGAGACCGTGATTCGGCCCGACATCACGGTGAAGAAGGGCTTCGATCCACAAGATTACGATAAGAACTCCCTCGACCGATTATTTCGTAATACCAACGCCCGAATGGATTTAATCGGACGTAAATGACATGCTGGAAAGACGGGACTTGGTTAAAAGTTTTTGAAAATTCGGAGTGTGAAGTAGATATTTGGACGGAATTCGTGCCAAAAGGAGGAGGAGACTGGGGGAATGGAATTTATGTGCTCGTGGGTGGAAGAAACAGAACTTAATCACTTTTTAACGGAAGTGGCTAATGAAGAAACAAACTTGAGATTAAGAATGAAACTATAAGCGGGTGTAAAACAACATTCAGTTCGGGGATTTTAGAATCATGTCACAGAGCATAAAATTGTGGCTCCTGACACCGAATTATGGCACCGAGATATTGCACTGATTTAAGTGTTTTCATGTTTAATATGTTTGATTATTTTGGAGGGGAGTATTGTGTGATTTTACATTTAATATTAATGTTAAATTATGTGAAACGGTTAGTCTTTCACCATCAAGCGATGTTATTCATATAACTGTTTGTGACTTTGACAATAACTTTGCAAACTGTGCTTGATGCTTCTTTTTTATTATTATTGTCAAAGTGTTACAAAGATTGTATAAGTGTATGTAAATTTGTTAATTTTGTCTTTCAAGAGAGAAGAGACATTTTGTTATAGTGATTTTGTTATTGGTAAACCAACAGGCAATTTTTGTGTTTTTGGTTTGTTTAAGAATAAATGTATTTGAGTTTGGAAATTTTCTGGAAACGTACTTTCATTAGTTAGACGAGATAGAAATATTCACAATTCTTAAAAAATATATATATTTCCAATTTTTTCTTTCGACTGGTGATTAGAAATAGATCACAGTTGTGAACCTCCTAACAATAAAATGAAAAGTTAGGAGAAAGGTTTCAATATAGCCATCACACGTGAACACGTCGTCATTGATAGATTTACGTTCACACTGAAATGTGGCCATGCTGTCTTTCAGAAAAGTAAAAAGAAAAGAATTTGAAGAAATGCAACCCTTGCCGCATTATCAAAGTGGTAAATACGAGCTTTAAATTAAAAGCTTTCTCTAAAGCACTGTGTTTTGGAACTTCCCCAAAATTATGTAGGGTGTAACATACGATATTCAAATACTTTATAAGTATGTAAACAAAATTCCTGTACTATATAAACATTTTCTTAAACATTTATTTATTTAATCAAGCATTCACTGAAAACTTTAGATAAAAAAATATTACATATCCGTTCTGCTCTCCAGGCTTTTCATGGGTTAGTATGTATAAAATATAGATCAAATGAACATAACAGCCTCCTTCAGTTACACCAGGGCACATGTACACTTCTTGAGCTTATGTTTTAATCTACGTAGAGTTTTTATTTACATTTAATACAAAAAATATAATAAAAATATAACATTGAGCGAAATACCACACTTGTGAATCTACTTATATACTAATAAAGACAGAAGTGCGTTGACATACAGCACGATAATCTCTAAATCTACCGATGCAATACTGATAAAACGTTTGTGGTAGCTTCCTTTAATGGCCTGGAATACTATAGGCTACGATTTATTACCTTAAATCTTAATATATTTACAAAATAATTACTTTTCTGGGCATTTTTCGTCTAGCTTTACATCAGACTCAAGAGTGCTTCAGTGTCAATAATTTACTTGCACGCCACCTTTGAATAAGATATTTCATCGTACTGATTTCATCAATGCACAGAATTGCGTATTTAGAGGACGGTTTGTATATTTGTCAGTTGTCTAGTTTTTCTCAGCTTTATTTATAAAAGTGATTTGGATATTGATTTTAATTGCTTGTAGACGTGGTGCATTAAGTGTACAAGAGACGAAATGTTTTAAAGTTATAATTTTCTGACGGATGTGGTTAATATTGTCGTAAAATGTACGAATGCATTCATGTTTACTAGTAAATTAAGTATAATTATTAGAGAGTTTTTGCAAGACGGGAAAACCATTCTTATAGTACGTAAACACGATCGTCAATATGAAAAACGTATCTTTAGAAAAAGATTTTGCATGTAGTACAATCCAAAGCATACGTTAAAACTAGAAACTAATTGGAACTGAATATACCTCTAACAGGATCTAAAAGAATTTATTGAACATCTGTGTGAGTCTGTTTGAGTCTTTTTTGCTTTTATAAGCAATATGAAAATGTATAATACATGAAATCTGGTTGTATCATACGAATGTGTAATACATGTCTTTATATCCAAAGATAACTACAGATTTGATGCCGGCGGATGGGAAAGTACAAATTCTCCCAGCATTGTCATGTTACCTCTTTCAAAACCACGACTTGCAAAAACTCTCTTATGTATTTGGAAGTTGGGCGAAACTGACGGATGGATGCATGTTTGTAGAGACATATTTTGATATAAAGGTGAGTGAAAGCGTACCAATGGGTGTTGAAAAAATGATTAAATTAATAAAGATCGGGAATAATATAACTTTTATAAAAACGACAGAATAAAGTAAAACTATTGATAAATGGGTATTTGGAGGGATTGAATGTGTGACAATGTTGGTTTTGAAGGTTATTTACTTTCTTATGATCTTTCGAGTAGGGGAGGGAATTGGTCATTGTTTAAGACTGGAGGTTGGCTCTACATGGCTTTCCTGCTTTCGTATTTTATCCCTTGATACACACAACTATACAAAGCCTTGGCTTATACTGCATTTTATCTCGAACTAGTTGCAGGTTTATTAAGTTTCTTGTTTAATTCCGCCTAATAAAAAGAGCAACCACGATAATTTGCCGTGTTTTCGAAAACTCCAAAAATGATTAATTTTTTTCGGCATTTGCCTACAACTACAATTGTGCAGGTATTTTTTGTTCATGAAATGTTTTATTAAAAAACAAATCTTCAAATAAGGTCAAGTTCAACTTTTCGAAAATATCAGATGTGTTGTGTAATTTTGGGTTATAATCGTCCGCTTCGAATTTCTCGCGCTTCGTAAACGTAATTTGAGAAGTTATTGGTGGCAGTTGGATGCTATGTAAGTTAGAATTTGTATATTAATTCATTTTTCTTTGTTCCCTTCTTACACTCAAGCTTGTGTTAAACATTTAAATTAATATTTTAGATATGAGTTAAAACCTATTTGATAATCCATTTTTGGTTCTTGATGTGAGTAATGTATTCGTATTCTCGATGAATTGATGTATTTTTTTCAAGCAATCTACAAACAATTGAAATTAGCCCAATTATGATTTCTCTCTCTCTCTCTCTCTCTCTCTCTCTCTCTCTCTCTCTCTCTCTATATATATA